CAATAGAGAAACTCTATGTAAATATGGGCTTCCCTGGTGGTTCAGACGGTAAAGAATAACCCCAAATATGGGGGAACTGGGTTGAAAATAGTACATATAAAGTTGTAGATATATCTGTATATCTATATAACAATAGTAAGAAAGAGAAGAAAATGAAATGTATGGACTCTAATCTTAAGTGAGTAAATTAAAACTAATTACCAAACAATACTTCAATATTATCAAAACATAAAATGTGAAGGTTAAAAAGTATACACAATACATAATCATGAAAAATAAATGCTATGTGGAGGAATACATATACATTGGATGTTCTTAATGTTCATAAAGTGAGGTATTACAAAGGATAAACTCATATCCAATAAGAAATTCATCCAACGAAAATTTTAATTTGACCAGAAATCCAACTTGGGAAACTAGTTAATAATGTCGGAGAGCACTGAGAAATTGCAACTAAATTCACTATATACACGTATGTAAAATTGTCATCTTTTACATCTTATGGGGAATGTTATACAGAAACTATTTCCATAAATCTGGAGAAACTGATTAATTGTAGATATTTATAAACCAAAATAATGTTTGATATAGAACTCTGAAATTTGCAATACATTTTAAAAGAAAATATATGAAATACTTTTAAAGTAATTATGAAATTTCACCATAAATAATTATAATATAAATAGACTTACTTCCGTGCAATGATCAAGATTTAAGTCTTGCTGTTTGCCTATGGCTTCAGCACCTGGGAATGGAGGCAGGCTGGGGCTGAAGGCCATGAGGTCCGTCTTGGGCGGCCCCTCCCCAGAGCACACCCTCTGCCGCCTCTCCTGCGAGTAAGACCAGCTCCCCACCGCGCTGGAGCACACCAGCCTGGGCTTCCCCGGCCCGCACGCGCCCTCGCTGGGCGGCGCCGAGCACCGCAGCGCCGTGTACAGCAGCAGCGTGAGCACCAACAGGCTGGACACCGCGCAGATGGCGACGATCAGGTACACGTTCACATCCACTAACGCCGTCTCTGCGCCAGCCGCGCCAGACAACGCCCGCGAAGAGGCCTTGGGCGCCTGGCCGCTGTCCTCCAGCGACAGCAGCACGGTGGCCGTGGCCGTCAGCGCCGGCTCGCCGTGGTCCTTCACCAGCACCAGCAGGCGCTGGCGCGGCGCGTCCGCCTCGTCCAGGGCGCGCGTCGTGCTGATCTCGCCGGTGTACAGCCCCACGCGGAACGGGCTGCGCGCGCCACCCGCCGCCGGCTGCAGCTCGTACGACAGCCACGCGTTGTAGCCCGAGTCCGCGTCCACCGCGCGCACCTTCGCCACCACGTGGCCCGCGTCCACGGACCTCGACACCACCTGGCTCACCGCGCTGGGTCCCCCGCCTGGCCCGGGCGGCAGCAGCGCAGGCGCGTTGTCGTTCTCGTCCAGCACGAACACCTGCAGCGTCACGTTGCTGCCCAGGGGCGGCACGCCCGCGTCGCGCGCGCTCACCTGGAACTGCAGCAGCTCCAGCTCCTCGTGGTCCAGCGGCTGCAGCGCGTACACCTTGCCGCTCTCCGCGTGCACCGACACGTAGCTCGACAGCGCGCGCTCGCCCACCCGCCGCTCCACCAGCGAGTAGGACACCAGCGCGTTCTCCTGCGCGTCCGCGTCTCGCGCCGACACGGTGAAGATGTGGCAGCCGGGCGGGTTGTTCTCCTTCACGAACACGGTGTACTCGGGCTGCGCGAACGCGGGCGCGTTGTCGTTCACGTCGGCCACCTCCACGGACACGCTGGCGGTGGCCGACAGCGAAGGCGAGCCCCCATCCCTTGCAGTCACCACCACCTCATAGTTCGCCACGCTCTCGCGATCCAAGACGCTGTCCAACACGAGTGAATAGTAATTCTTAAAGGTGGACACTAGTTTGAAGGGGCTTTCAGGTGTTAGTGAGCAAGTCACCTGCCCGTTGGCACCAGAGTCACGGTCGGACACGCTGATCAGGGATATGACGGTACCTACCTGAGCATCCTCTCGCACCGGGAGAGCCAAAGAAGTGACAACCACCTCAGGTGAATTATCATTTTCATCCAGAATTTCCACTAGGACGGTGCAGTGACCAACCATGGGTAGGTTTCCTTTATCTGTAACATCTACATGAATTTCGTAAGTGTTACTATCTTCGAAGTCAATGGCATCATTGATTCTTACTTCTCCCGTTCTTTCATTAATTAAAAATTTCCTTCTTACGGTGGGTGGAACCAAAGAGCTAAATGAATATATTACCTCCTTGTTTATCCCTTCATCCGCATCAGAAGCATTTAGCCAAATAACCAATGTTTGCTTCGCTGAATTTTCATACATCTTAACTTCATACACGGTCTGGTCAAATACAGGTGCATTGTCATTGGCATCTAACACCAGGATCAGCAAAGTAACAGATCCGGTAAGTTCAGGTTTGCCTCCATCAGTTGTCGTTAATAACAACCGAAGCTGAGGATTTTCTTCGCGATCCAGCAGTTTGCTTAGAACAAGCACTGGTAATTTGCCTTTGTCCTTTTTGTTTATAATATCAAGAGTGAAAAACTCATTTGAACTGAGTCCGTAAGTAAGCACTGCGTTCTCTCCAATGTCCGCATCAGATGCGCCTTCTAGAGGAAATCGAGAGTCAAGCGGTTGAGATTCCAGAATTGAGAGCCTTTGTTCTGAGGTGGAGAAAACCGGCTGGTTGTCGTTAATGTCCTTCACCTCCACCTCCACGTGGAACACCTGCAGCGGCCGGTCCACGATCACCTCCAGGTGGATGCTGCACTCCGCGCTCCGCCCGCACAGCTCCTCCCGGTCGATCCGAGAATTCACAAACAAAATGCCATTCTGCAGATTTACCTCCAGAAGGTCCCCAAGGTCTTTGGACGCCACCCGGAACAGGCGCGGCACCAGCTCCTCCAGCTCCAGTCCCAGGTCCTGGGCGATGCGGCCCACGAAGGTGCCGTGTTTGGCCTCCTCCAGGACAGAGTAGCGGACCTGGCCGCTTGCTGTCTTCCAGATCGAGAGAATTATAAAAAATAGCAATAGATGTCGGTTCCCCAAGTCGCCTAGAATTGAGTACATCTCAAATTATTGGGATTTTCTTCCAATCAGTGTATCTTGTTCCAAAATTTAGAGGAATCTTCTTATCCCTTCTTTATTTTCATGATGTGTTCGCCATTGTTCAACCTCCGAATATTAAAACAGAGTGGAGACTCCTTGCAATGTGACTTAATTCTGTCTTCAACTGAGACAATTTCACAGTAAAGAGCGACATCATGTGGCCCAAATAGTAAGTACAAAATAAAAAATTAGCTTTGTATTATTAGGACTCGAGGTTTTGTTTCAACTTCTGAATTTTTCTTTAATTTTCTTCAAGTGTAGGACCATATTTATCATGCTTGCTTAAGGCTTTATTAGGAGATTTATGTGCCTAATATTTAAAATGACCATAATTGTGGCTTCCTCATGCCTTGAAAATATGTTCTTTACAAAACGTTTAAAATTAGGATAAAAAATTAGTGAAAAATTGCATTATGTTAGCAATACTAAATTTTAAAATCCTTAGTTCACAGTTCAGAAAATTCAATTTTTTTCTGCTTCTTTTAAGAAAGTTCCTGGTCTTTCTAGGGACCCAGGATCTCAAGAATCTAATGGAAGATAAACTTAGAAAGGTTGTTTGTTTGGGGGAGCAAGGAATATGAGGAAATAATCCACATTTTTTTCTTAAGAAAGCAGACTTTAATCAAGCTTGGGGTGTTTTACCCTTTTTACTTCTACTTAACAGAGTGGGTTTTTTTTTTTTTAATATTTCACTCCTATGTTCCCAGTGCAAATAAAATAATTAACATCTGTATTCTAATGCTCTCCAAGTTTTACATGGGCGTAAATGGGTTTTAAATATTGTTGCTGTCCTGAATTATTGCAATATATTCTTGTTGTGTCATCTTGTCACAACTCCTTTATCCTTCTCTTAATCCTGACAGTCATCTTAGTGAAAAACACCTTTTATTCCTATTGATTCACATTTTTTATACCTTTCAAAATAATGAGAGGTGATCAAAATTTCTTAGTGAAGTACTCAAATTACCCAAGAAATTTTTCTCACATTACTTTTCCTGCTTTATCACATACTCTTTCCTATGGGAACCATATGTTTTAACCAAAACAGACTATTCTCTGTGTCCAGGTACATTTCGGATTTTGTATGTACTCATTTCTTTAAGTTTCTCTGTTCCCAAGAATACCTATTATACTCAGTATTCTCTCAAAGCAAACTTATCCATTTACAAACCACTAAAAATATCACACCTCTTGAAGGGTTTCTTCAAATAGAAAAATAGGCAGTTATTTCTGTTCAATCCACTCACAGTGATTTACATTTCTTGTACCTGTTATAATATTCAGCCTTCTATGATGATCATATTTATGTATGACAAATATCTTTATTTTTCTACCAACTTCTTGAAGCCAGGGGCTGGGTCTTGTTAACTCAATGATTCTCGGCACAGCATCATTTTCAAAACTTACAAAAATTTACACTACTATCTGTTTCTTGCATGTAGAGAAATGATGTATACTTTAAATCATAAAACAGAATAAATAATGAAATTATTAAATTAGAAGAAATAAATTCTCTATAAAAAGGAGCCCATCAAATAAAAGTCAAACACAAATAAGGGGTTTTCAGTGTCTGAGAACTCAATGCACATGTCACATGAATTTACTTGTTTAAAGTCCACATTCTATTGAATTATTGTCAAATATTTGGATCCCTGATGTGCTGAGCAATAACATGGGTATCACATGGTAGTTGAAAGAGTGTGAAATTTTCCTATTCACTTTTTCATCCCAATCAGAAGTATTCTGGGCCTCACTGGAGGCTCAGAGGTAAAGAATCTGCCTGCTAATGCAGGAGACATGGGTTCAATCCCTGATCCAGGAAGATCCCACATGCCCAGAGCAACTAAGCTCATGAACCACAACTATTTAGCCTGTGCACTAGAGTCCAGGAGCTGAAAATACTGAGCCCACCAGCTCTAGAACCTGTGATCGGCAACAAGAGAAGCCTTTACAATGAGAAGCCCAGGCTCCACAGCTAGAGAGTAGCCCTTGCTCCCCAAAACTAGAGTAAAACCCACACAGTAATGAAGATCCAGCAAAGCAATAAATAAATAATTTTTGAAAAGAAGAATATTAGTTATTGGGATAACTATTATTATGTACGTTGTCTCTAAATCATTTAAAAGGACAACAGTAAATAAGCACTACAGATTCTTGGACTCTTAGGATCACCAGGCCCAAAAAGGAATATAGATTTAAGATATGATGAAGACAGTCATTAAACAAACTGGATAATTGAAAGTGTTGGCTAAGCAGAAGCATCAAAGAAAAGAGAGAGAGAAGAAGGAAAGGAAGGAAGAAGGAAGCAGGATAAAACTATAATAAAGTGATGTTGAAATAATATATCAATTAAAATGAGTGTGAAATAACTCTCCTGAAGTTCAAATGCAAAGTTATCAAAGTCTACAAAATTAATAAGGAAAAATACTACCAATGCATTTTTAAAATGTATCACAACTGGTTATCTAAGGAAATTTTTAGTTTTGAGACAAAAATCTTGACGTATATAATGATGTTTTAATAATGTCTGCCACTCAAGTTTAAAAAACCAAAGAGATTATAATAATTAACGAAGAAAAAATGCATATAATTCAAAATTACTCAATTTGTTGAAATAGTCAAGTTTAAACATAAACCCAAGGAAAATAATGAAAACATTTTAAAAAATCAACTGGTAATTATGAAAATTCAGACTTACTTTGGAAAGACCATCATCCTTTAAATCCTGATGCTCGCCCGTATCCGCCACTACTGGACAGGCTGGTAGGCTGGGGCTGAAGGCCATGAGGTCCGTCTTGGGCGGCCCCTCCCCAGAGCACAACCTCTGCCGCCTCTCCAGCGAGTAAGACCAGCTCCCCACCGCGCTGGAGCACACCAGCCTGGGCTTCCCCGGCCCGCACGCGCCCTCGCTGGGCGGCGCCGAGCACCGCAGCGCCGTGTACAGCAGCAGCGTGAGCACCAACAGGCTGGACACCGCGCAGATGGCGACGATCAGGTACACGTTCACATCCACTAACGCCGTCTCTGCGCCAGCTGCACCAGACAACGCCCGCGAAGAGGCCTTGGGCGCCTGGCCGCTGTCCTCCAGCGACAGCAGCACGGTGGCCGTGGCCGTCAGCGCCGGCTCGCCGTGGTCCTTCACCAGCACCAGCAGGCGCTGGCGCGGCGCGTCCGCCTCGTCCAGGGCGCGCGTCGTGCTGATCTCGCCGGTGTACAGCCCCACGCGGAACGGGCTGCGCGCGCCACCCGCCGCCGGCTGCAGCTCGTACGACAGCCACGCGTTGTAGCCCGAGTCCGCGTCCACCGCGCGCACCTTCGCCACCACGTGGCCCGCGTCCACGGACCTCGACACCACCTGGCTCACCGCGCTGGGTCCTCCGCCTGGCCCGGGCGGCAGCAGCGCAGGCGCGTTGTCGTTCTCGTCCAGCACGAACACCTGCAGCGTCACGTTGCTGCCCAGGGGCGGCACGCCCGCGTCGCGCGCGCTCACCTGGAACTGCAGCAGCTCCAGCTCCTCGTGGTCCAGCGGCTGCAGCGCGTACACCTTGCCGCTCTCCGCGTGCACCGACACGTAGCTCGACAGCGCGCGCTCGCCCACCCGCCGCTCCACCAGCGAGTAGGTCACCAGCGCGTTCTCCTGCGCGTCCGCGTCTCGCGCCGACACGGTGAAGATGTGGCAGCCGGGCGGGTTGTTCTCCTTCACGAACACCGTGTACTCGGGCTGCGCGAACGCGGGTGCGTTGTCGTTCACGTCGGCCACTTCCACGGACACGCTGGTCGTGGTGGACAAGGCAGGCGAGCCCCCATCCCTCGCAGTCAGCACCACATCATAGTTCGCCAAGCGCTCACGATCCAAGTCGCTGTCGAGCACCAATGAATAGTAATTTTTGAAGGTCGACACCAACTTAAAAGGAACATCAGGCGTCACAGAGCAGGTCACCTGCCCATTGGCACCAGAGTCGAGATCTGATAGACTGATCAGGGCAATGACGGTGCCCAGTGGAGCGTCCTCTTGCACAGGCAGAGATAGTGAGGTTATGACCATCTCTGGGATATTATCATTTTCATCCAGCAGTTTCACTATTACTTTGCAGTGTCCAGTTAATGGGAATGAACTTTTATCAACAGCATCAATATTAATTTCATATAAATTACAGTCTTCGTAATCCAGTTTTCCTGTAACTGTTATTTCCCCACTATTAGAATTGATCGCAAATTTAGATTTTACATTGTCAAGAACAAGATTGTTAAAGAGATATACTATTTCCTTATTAATGCCCTCATCTGCATCTGAGGCGTTCAGTTTAATAACTAGTGTCCCATTCGGTGCATTTTCCAATAATCTGACATTATAAATTGATTTATCAAATTCTGGAGCATTATCATTCGCATCCAAAACACTGATCAATAACTGAACTGTACCTGTTAATTCAGGTTTTCCTCCATCAATTGCAATCAGTAATAAACGATGTTCTTGCGTTTCTTCCCTATCTACTGGTTTCTTCAAAACTAGCTCTAAAAAGTTCGTTTCCTCTTCGTTTGTTTTAACATCCAAGTCAAAATACTCATTTGCTTGTAATCTGTACCTCAATTCTGCGTTTCTTCCGATATCCATATCAGACGCGCCCTCTAGCGGAAACCGGGAATCCACTCTTCTTGACTCTAGTATAAATAGTGTTTGTTCTTGTCGCAAGAACCGTGGAGGGTTGTCGTTAATGTCCTTTACCTCCACCTCCACATGGAACACCTGCAGCGGCCGGTCCACGATCACCTCCAGGTGGATGCTGCACTCCGCTCTCCGCCCGCACAGCTCCTCCCGGTCGATCCGAGAATTCACAAACAAAATGCCATTCTGCAAATTTACCTCCAGAAGGTCTCTGCGGCCTTTGGATGCAATCCGGAACAGGCGAGGCACCAGCTCTGCCAGCTCCAGTCCCAGGTCCTGGGCGATGCGGCCCACGAAGGTGCCGTGTTTGGCCTCCTCGGAGACCGAGTAGTGGACCTGGCCAATCCCCGACTCCCAGGCTACGAGGAGCAGAAGCGATAGCAGCAGGCGCTGAGATCCTCGACTTTTTCTCTGAGAATATACCATCGCAAATTTGTATCAACTTTCAAATACCTATTGCACTACCATGTAGCTCTTGGAAATTTAATTCCCAATTTTATACAATTTTGTATTTGCTCACCTTTTATGCTTCAGCAGCAGAGTGAAAAGATGGAGTGGCTTTTTCTCCTTTCTCAGGAAAATAAACTCGCTGTATTCCTTTGTTGTTAAAAAAAGAAACTGAACTTGCGGTTTCCAGCGCCATCATGTGGACGAAAGGGGAGTTATTTTACTTTGTTATGTTTTATTTACATTACATTCGTTAAATATTTCCCAATTTCAACGACTCATTATATTCCTTATCTCTAATCAAGTACATAATTAAATTTTTAATAAAATGTATCAAATTTAGTTAAAATACTGCAGAATCAATACTACTCAAGTTGTGACACCCAATCTTTACTAGCATGATTTGTATTGGCCTATTCTGTATATTTAGGGTTTGTATAGTTCCTAATGGACTTTAAAAGTTTTAGATTTTTTACATCTTTCCATATTTACATACTACTTAACTACAATTACCGATTTTTTTCTCTACTATTTTAATGGGATGTTTGTACACTAGTTTTTATATCACTCATAAGAAGTTTATATTCCTATTTGCAATATTTAATATTGGCTTTTGTTGATGTTATTTTCAAAGTAACAAGATATTTGAATAGAATTCGTGTCTGAGTTCCATTTGGAAGTCTGATTTTCAAATTGCTGAAAATTTATTGATCTCCTTTTTCTCTATATTACCTACTTACTTTTAATGTTAATTCAAACTGTAATGTGGATATGACACTATTTGCAACTTAATACATCTAGCACAGCACAGCATACAGACAAGCATTTTAAGTTGCTATTACTGATAAATCACAATTCATATAAATTGTGAAAGCACGTATATTTTCTTTTATGTAGCAAATCAAAATCCTAATGTTGTTTGTGAGATATATTATTATATAAAATATTTGAGTTCCAGTAAAAATTAAAACATGGAAAGAAATCACATTATTAACAGGTTAACTCTGTTAATTTCATCTCATTCCACTGCTCCATTTTATTTGCTATATAGACTTGGACTTCACGTAATAATACAGCCAATATAAAATAAACCAACTTTTCCTCTTAAAAAAATTTAACATTCTACTTAAGTATATACTCCCTAGAATTCCTTAAATATTACAAAATTATCTTTTCTTGTGAATATGAGGGGTCAGTAAATCAATAATTCTATTACTTAATGGTTCACATGTAAAGCATAAACTCCAAACACATTTTTTAATGTTGGTATAAGTCATATGTGGAATTAGATATATTTTGTGTCCATGTATAAAGCAAACATGGAAAAGTGGTACTATAAAAACTAGCTTGGAAAGAAATAAGATTACTAGAAAATACAAAGTCAATTGAAATTAACTTGCTTCTCAGTATTCAAAACAGTAATGTAAGGACATCAGATAATGTTACTGAATTTGTTTCTGATACAATCTTTAAGAGTATATTTATCATTTCCTTTAGTTTTTTAAAGATTTATTAGCATTCAGAACATCCAAACACTAAAAAAGCTAAACAACAATCAAATTTCAGAGCTACTTATCTAATAGTCACTTATAAGGATAATTTAAAGTATTTTAATATATAATAAGAAAAAATTATAATATCTGAGTTGAAAATATCATCAGTTAATGTTGATTCACCTTCTATTATGGAACCATGATTGATGTGGATCTACAAAACTACAATAAAAATATTTACTCTTTAAAAAGGTAAATATTAAGTATTTAAAAGCCAACTGATAGTGTGATATTAACAATGCATGCATAGTATTTTACAGAATATTTTCAGTAAATATTTAAAACTTTAAAAAATATACTCAATGGAGAAAATGCCATCAATAGTATCATATGCTTCTTTCAGCTTGTAATTTTTTCACATAAATATATACAGGAGAAAATAAGACTCTTGGCTTTTGAACTGTCTTCATATCTTTTTTTGTTGTTGTTGTTGTTTTTGTTTTTGTTTTGTTTTTTCTGTCTTCATATCTTTTTAAAATTATCCCTTGCATTTGTCTTTCATTGCTCAACTCTTGCTTTGGAGGTTATTTTTTCAACAAGTATAGACTCTATAGTTGTAATTCCATAAAATCTATAAGTAGAGGAAATTCTTTAAATCTTTTTCCAATCCATTCTTTCAATTAAATATTATAGATTATTACTACATAATTTCTAGAAAATTTTCAGTTATACTTATGTATGCCCCATGGCAGAACTAAGACTCCTTTCCTGACAATGAATTTAGATTAAGGAAACCAAATAGTATTTTGAGGTATCTCTACTTAATTTACTGAGGAACATTCAGGAAGACAGTACACTAGAAAATTTAATTTTGTGTTGGAATCTAGATGACTTTCATTTCCTACAAAACTCCAGAATAAAATTTTAATAAGCTATATTTCCCACCTATGTGTAGAAAATTATGTAAGTCTACCACATTTTGAGATGTAACAGGTGAAATTGAAGCAATCTTTTAAAGGTTTGTAAACAGTTCGTCCACCTGCATCAAATATGAACAAAAAGTTTAATTATATGTAAAAAATAATTTATCCTATTACCTCACATAATATGCATATGGTACATATTTTTACATTACTTTTGTAATGGTTCAGCCCCCCAAAAAAATATTGTGCTAAAACATTTATGTTATATACACATTCTGGGGAAACCTGAGTGTAATTTTAAAGTACCTCTGAGGGAATAAGGAAGCTAAATTAAGCATAGTTTTTACTCACAATCCTCTTGCCTTCATTATTCCCAAATGAGCTCATTTAAAAGTGGAAAGAGACAATGAGCTAAACTCAAGCACTTTTGGTTCTATTCTATGCATTCGTATTAATATTCATGTGGCCTCAATTTTTTTGTGTGTCTCCAGACCACAATTCAGTCATTAAATTGAAAGAAATTACAATCTCTGAGGTCATATCTTTTAAAATTCTAGGCCAAGTGAGTGGAAACTTGATGAGATGCAAGATTCTTAAAGCATTAGTAAATATCCAGGGTGAGAAAGAAGGAGGGAAACTAAACAGTAAAAAATAAATAAATAAATTCAGTAAGCTTGGTTCTTATGAACAAAGGAAAGAGGAAAGGAGGACAGAAAAAGGGTTAAAATAAAGTACAAAATCCTTATTCTACTAACTTTGTATGAGACTACAAAATAGACCTTGGGTTCAGTAGAAGAGGTAAAAATAAAATGTTCAGAAGATTTGTAATGACAGACATCATTGTAGAAGATAAAAAAGGAAAAGATATAAAATATTTACCTCAATTCAAACTTTTCCATAAATTTCTAAATGCCTATCTATCAGGTATTTGTAAATTATGTGTCCATCTCTAGAGTAATATAACTACATCTAGAATAATTACAGCTTCTCATGTACAATACCCAGAATTCAATACAAAATTATCGGGCTTACCAAGAAAGAGAATCGTGAGAAAAAATGAATAAAACCCACAAACAGATGATCCAATTATTACACTGATATGACACACCATAAATAAACTGTAATTAAGGTACCAAAACAAATACATAATAAATTATTTCACCAGAAAAATATAGTATTTTAAAAGAAAATTATAGTTCTAAAGCTAAAAAAGATAATAAAGTTTAGATTCAACTGATGACTTAATAAGAAGAGAAATTTGCTGAAGTAGAAGATTGTCAGAATAAAATATTCATCAGGTAATAGCAAAAATGATGCTGAAAAAAATAGAGGGGGAAAAAATAGAGGGGGGCATATAAGATATAAGAAATATGGTGAAAAGATTTAACACACCTATTCCTTGACTTAAAGTAGAGGAAGAGAGAAAAACATGAGGCAGAAGCAATCTTCAAAGGCAGACTGCTGGAATTTTCCCTATACTGATGAAAGACATCAAACCACATATTCAAGAAGCTTTAAAAACTGCAAACAAGATAAAAACCAAAGAAAACTAAAACTGAGCATAAAGCCCTTGAAAATGAAAAACAAAGAAAAATTTTACAAACCAGCTAGACAGGGAAAAAAAAGGTTTTACTACCTGAACAATAAACTTGACAGCCATCTTCTCAAAAGACTATGGAATGTAATCTTAAAAGCAATAGGGTGGGGGGAAACAAGTTACAACCCAGAACTTGATACTCAACAAAACTATTTTTCAGAAGTGCTGGCAAAATAAGCAGATTTCTCATATACCAAATATTAGAGAATTCTTTACCACCACTAAAAGAAATACAAAATAATTTCTTCTTTAGTTCCCCAACCAGGGATTTAATCTGGGCCCTCAGGAGGGAAAGTACAGAGTCCTAGCCACTAGATCACCAGGGAATTTCATCATATGTACCATTATTAAAGAAAACAATTTAAACTTACAGCTGATATTTATTATGATCACAAATGGCAATTATCTAAGAATAAATCTTATAAAAGATGAATAGGACCTCTACACAGGAAATTATAAAATATTAAGAACCATTGTAGATTATTTAGATAAATAGAGCATGCTCATGAAGTGAATGTCTCATTATTGTAAAGATGTCAACTGGTTTTATGTACAATACCCAGAACTCAATACAGAATTATCAGACTAATATAGCTAATTATCCTGACAAAATTATCAGGATAATTATCTACTATCTCAATAGATACAATGCAATCCAAATCAATAGCTCACCAACGTGTTTTTATGGAATTAATATACAAATCTAGGTTGAAATTAAAGAGACAGCATGACATTTATGGGAAAAACAATCAATGTGATTAGAAAAACAAAAGCAAAAAGACTATGATTATTTAAGGAACAACTGTGGAACTAATTTTTTTAAATGGTCTTGCCTCAGCTGAACATGTTTGGCAAAAGTTAAGCTTGATCCTTGGGTCTCAGCAAAGACAAAAAATTAAAATTGATTGCACATGTAATGCAAACAAAACAAAAGACACAAAAATTATCTTCAGAGAATAGAATCAAGAAGAAAAAAAATGATAAATTGAACTTAACTAAAATGAAAATTCCTATTCACCAAATGACAAAAGAATGAAAAGACAAGTCACAGTGTGGAACAATGCAGAAAATCAAGAAAGGGGTCATATCCAGAACATGAAACTTTTCAAAAAGAAGTAGAAGGAACTTTCTTGGTAGTCTAGAGTTGAGAGTCTGCCTGCCAATGCAGGGGTTGTGAGTTGGATCCCTGGTCCGGGAAGATTCTACATGCCGCAGAGCAAATAAGCCTGTGCACTGCAACTACTGAAGCCCTAGTGCTCTAGGGTCTGTACTCTCCAACAAGAGAAGCCAGTACAATGAGAAGCCCATGCACTGCAAGAGAGAAGCCCCCCTCACCACACCTTAAAGAAACCCTAGGTACACCAATGAAGACCCAGTACAGGCAAAAATTAATTTAAAAAACAGTAGAAGAATATAACAGAATAGGAAAATAGGCAGAAGATTTGAACAGTTATTGCATAGAATGGGATATTAAAACGGCCAATAATAATACAAAAATGTGCTCAACCTCAATTACAAATTGGGAAACATAAGCACATCAAGCAAACTGGCAACAATGTAAATTAACAATGCCAAGTTTTCCAGGTGATGAAGAGCAACTGAAACTCATACAGAACTAGCAAAAGTGTGAACAGGTAAAAGCATCTGGGGAAGTTGACATCAATTAAAGATACCAATTGATTGACATTATCAATTAGAGATACCAAGGGAACATCTCATGCAAAGGTGGGCACAATAAAGGACAGAAATGGTATGGACCTAACAGAAGCAGAAAAGATTAAGAAGAGGTGGCAAGAATACACAGAAGAACTGTACAAAAAAGATCTTTATGACCCAGATAACCACAATGCTGTGATCACTCACCTAGAGCCAGACATCCTGGAATGCAAAGTCAAGTGGGCCTTAGGAAGCATCACTACGAACAAAGGTACTGGAGGTGATGGAATTCCAGCTGAGCTATTTCAAATCCTAAAAGATGATGCTGTGAAAGTGCTGCACCCAATATGCCAGCAAATATGGAAAACTCAGCAGTGGTCACAGGACTGGAAGAGGTCAATTTCCATTCCAATCCCAAAGAAAGGTAATGCCAAAGAATGCCCAAACTACCATACAATTGCACTCATCTCCCACACTAGCAAAGTAATGCTCAAAATTCTTCAAGCCAGGCTTCAACAGTATGTGAACCGTGAACTTCCAGATGTTCAAGCTGGATTTAGAAAAGGCAGAGGTACCAGAGATCAAATTGCCAACATCCGCTAGATCATCAAAAAAGCAAGAGAGTTCCAGAAAAACATCTATTTCTGCTTTATTGACTATGCCAAAGCCTTTGACTGTGTGGATCACAATAAACTGTGGAAAATTCTGAAAGAGATGGGAATACCAGACCACCTGACCTGCCTCTTGAGAAACCTGTATGCAGGTCAGGAAGCAACAGTTAGAACTGGACATGGAACAACAGACTGGTTCCAAATAGGAAAAGGAGTACGTCAAGGCTGTATATTGTCACCCTGCTTATTTAACTTATATGCAGAGTACATCATGAGAAATGCTGGGCTGGAAGAAGCACAAGCTGGAATCAAGATTGCCGGGAGAAATATCAATAACCTCAGATATGCAGATGACACCACCCTTATGGCAGAAAGTGAAGAAGAACTAAAGAGCCTCTTGATGAAAGTGAAAGAGGAGAGTGAAAAAGTTGGCTTAAAGCTCAACATTCAGAAAACTAAGATCATGGCATCTGGTCCCATCACTTCATGGGAAATAGATGGGGAAACAGTGGAAACAGTGTCAGACTTTATTTTTGGGGGCTCCAAAATCACTGCAGATGGTGATTGCAGCCATGAAATTAAAAGACGCTTACTCCTTGGAAGGAAAGTTATGACCAACCTAGACAGCATATTAAAAAGCAGAGACATTACTTTGCCAACAAAGGTCCGTCTAGTCAAGGCTATGGTTTTTCCAGTGGTCATGTATGGATGTGAGAGTTGGACTGTGAAGAAAGCTGAGCGCCGAAGAATTGATGCTTTTGAACTGTGGTGTTGGAGAAGACTCTTGAGAGTCCCTTGGACTGCAAGGAGATCCAACCAGTCCATCCTAAAGGAGATCAGTCCTGGGTATTCATTGGAGGGACTGATGCTGAAGCTGAAACTCCAATACTTTGGCCACCTGATGCGAATGGCTGAATCATTTGAAAAGACCCTAAAGCTGGGAAAGATTGAGGGCAGGAGGAGAAGGGGAAGACAGAGGATGAGATGGTTGGATGGCATTACCAACTCAATGGACATGAGTTTGAGCAAGCTCTGGGAGCTGGTAAAGGACAGGGAAGTCTGGCTTGCTGTAGTCCATGGGGTCTCAAAGGGTCATGATTGAGCAACTAAACTGATCAATTAAAGGAGAAGATAAGTACAGAGACTATGTTCCCCTAATCTCCATCTTAGCTAAATAATACAGAAAAGTTTGTAAATAGGCATTGAAAAATTTACAAATATATTGATGGCAGCATTAGGTAAAATAGATACAAAGAGAAACAATGTGAAATTCTCAACAGAATAATGCATACCCTATTCATAAAACATACTAGAGAAAGAAAAAACTATTAGAGATAATAAATCAAATTAACTCCAAGTACTTAAGGCAATATGGATGATTCCACAGAATAGTGAATGATAAATATGAAGAACACAGAAACACAAGCACACATACAACACATTTTGTGCAATTCCATTTAGAAAAATTCAAGAAGCAGGTAAAAATTAATCAGCTATAAAATTAAAGCTATGGCTACATATGAGGGGAAGAGGGGAAAGACATTTGGGAGGTACATTTGAGTGTCCTCTGGAGTGAAAGGAACAGTTTCCACTTTCAAATAGTTGGTTAAGCTGTAGTAGTCTGTGTACTTTTCAATGATTTAGAGGCAAATAACAAGAAAATGCTTTCTAAAAGTTGATTACAACTGAAAATAAAGATGAAGATAGAAATCACAAAATTTATAACACTAAATAAATATGCATTGAATAATGAATATTAAAAACAATACAAGTATTGCCTTGTTGTCCTATTACTCTAAAAGGTTTTAGTTTAAAAGGGGATGAAAGAAAAAGTAAACAAATTTAGTTCAGAGAAATTTAGTTTTGAGAAATTTTTAATGAAGAAGAAATTGATAGAATTAAAGAATATCCAGACTTCAGAGTAAATAAGGATATTTATAAACTAACCTTTGAAAGAGAATCCACAGTTGCTGGCTGCTGATCCTCTCTGTCCCCAGAGTCCGGAACACTGGGACTGAAGGCCATGAGGTCGGTCTTGGGCGGCCCCTCCCCAGAGCACACCCTCTGCCGCCTCTCCTGCGAGTAAGACCAGCTCCCTCAGCTCCAGCTCCTCGTGGTCCAGCGGCTGCAGCGCGTACACCTTGCCGCTCTCCGCGTGCACCGACACGTAGCTCGACAGCGCGCGCTCGCCCACCCGCCACTCCACCAGCGAGTAGGTCACCAGCGCGTTCTCCTGCGCGTCCGCGTCTCGCGCAGACACGGTGAAGATGTGGCAGCCGGGAGGGTTGTTCTCCTTGACGAACACGGTGTACTCGGGCTGTGCGAACGCGGGCGCGTTGTCGTTCACGTCGGCCACCTCCACGGACACGCTGGCTGTGGTGGACAAGGAAGGCGACCCCCCGTCTTGAGCGGTCACCACCACCTCATAGTTCGCCACGCTCTCGCGATCCAAGGTGCTGTCCAAAACGAGTGAATAGTAGTTCCTGAAGGTGGACACCAGCCTGAATGGGACGTGGGGCGATAGGGTACAAGTCACCTGCCCATTGACACTGGAGTCGAGGTCAGACACACTTATCAAGGCGATGACGGTGCCCAGTGGAGCGTCTTCCCTAATTGGGAGTGACAAGAATTTGAATTCCGTTGCTGGGGCATTATCATTGGTGTCTTCAACTTCCACCATAACTGTACAATGGCCAGAAAGTGGCAGCTGCCCCTTATCAATGCCCTCTACAAGAATTTCATAGGATTTGGTTTCTTCAAAATCAATATATCCCTTTACCATAATTTCCCCAGTAATTGGATCTATGTAGAATTTGGATTTCACAGTGGGTAAAATATCATCTGAGAATGAATAAATAATATTCCCATTCAAGCCTTCGTCTAAATCTGAGGCGTTAAGTTTAATTACCAACGTTCCGTTAGGAACATTTTCTAGTAATTTCACTTCATAGAGTGTTCTGTCGAAAGTTGGGGCGTTGTCGTTGGCGTCCAGCACTCTGACGAGTAATTGAACAGTGCCAGTCAGCTCAGGTTTGCCGCCATCAGAGGCGGTAAGCACCACAAAAATCTCCGGAGCTTCTTCTCTGTCTAAAGGTTTCCTTAATACCAGCCCAAGACGTTTTACCCGCTCCTCATCGGATGGTTTTTCCAACGAGAAATATTCATTGGGACCCAGCCTGTAAGTCAGCAGAGCGTTGGCGCCAATGTCTGCATCAGAGGCGCCCTCTAGCGGAAATCGAGAGTCAATCGGCCTAGATTCAGCCATAAACAGAATCTTTTGTGTTCCTGGGAACACAGGAGGATGGTCGTTAATGTCCTTCACCTCCACCTCCACATGGAACACCTGCAGCGGCCGGTCCACGATCACCTCCAGGTGGATGCTGCACTCCGCGCTCCGCCCGCACAGCTCCTCCCGGTCGATCCGAGAATTCACGAACAAAATGCCACTCTGCAGATTAACCTCCAGAAGGTCCCCGCGGCCTTTGGATGACACACGAAACAGGCGCGGCACCAGTTCCGCCAGCTCCAACCCCAGGTCCTGAGCGATTCGGCCTACGAAGGTGCCGTGTTTGGCCTCTTCCAGGACAGAGTAGCGGACCTGGCCGCTCCCGGCCTTCCAGGCTGCGAGGAATAGAATTGAGAGCAGCAGACGCCGGTATTCCTGGCCAGTTCCCCAGGAAAACTCCATCTCATGTCCTCAGTGTTTTGTTCTCATGAAGAGGGTCTTGTTTCCAAACGAAGCACTACCTCCTGACCGTTCAGTCCAGTGCCATTGCAGACTCCATTTTTTCAGTGGTGGATGCAGCTTCTTTACCATAAGAACAGGAGGAGTTTCTTTCTTTCTTTCTTTTTTGCTTTATGGTATCAATTTTATGGTACAGAGCGACATCATGTGGCTCAAAACCGTAAGTAACAGATTCTGGAAATCCATACTAAGAACTGTTAGGTCTTCATTTTTCTTTCTGCCTTCCGTGGATTTTAATGCCCTTGGAGAATAGAATCACATTTTATACTACTGCAGTACACATTTTGCACTACTGATTGACTGAGTGTAATCCTTAGTTTCACCACAGGAGCAGATTTCACTTCAGTGGAAATACTTTTTTCATACAAGTTTTAAGTATTTACAGAGACCCAGCTGTAGTTAACATAACACTTTATACAGTTGGCAAAGTGTTGGCTAGGAAAATCTGTGACATTTTTGTGTTCCTGAGAGTGAAGGAAGGTAATTATTAATGATGACACTATTCATCATTGGATTTTACATTCTTGTTATTGAAGACTTCAGAGAATACATCTCTAGGAAAACTCTGATCTCAGAAATAGGTAATTGAAAGGGAATTTGAAAAAATATTCAAAAAAGGAAGCAAAGACCATCAGCAACTAATTGAGAGTCATCCTTAAATAATCCAAGGGCTGAGGGCAATGAAGCTTTAACAGGCAAGTAGGATATTGCAGTATACAATTTGTGTTGGAAAGTATTCCAGATAATTTCATTCACTGGAACCCATTCACCTCCCATGAACAACACTGGTATTCTCATTTTGGCTCTCATGGTTTATAAACACTTGCTTGTTCTTCAGGACCTAATATGCCTCAACTTCTGTTTCTCCTAGAGTACTCATATAGTCTAGTCAAGGTGGACAATTTCCTGCTTCCAATAACATTTTTTGCTAAACAAATATACTCATTTCATTCTCTGCCTAAGTAATATCCAGCATTTCCAAAATCTTCTAAAATCACTCTTCCCCCATTATATAACAACTTAAAACTTCCTTGACCAAGGAAGACTGTCATGATTAAGTCAACTGGGCAAGCATCTTTACTTGCTTTTATATTATAGCATCTAGATCAATCACATTGGCCATTTATTACATTATCTTTTTTAGGTATTTGGGTATAAATTTTTTAATGTAAAATTTTAAAGAGAGTATTTTATCATAATATTTTAATATTCAGAATACTTATTGAGTAGTTAGTGAATATTTACTGAATAGAATAGTTTGGTTTTCTTATATTGCTTAATAAAATGCTTTAAATTAAGGTGATCATGTAGCTAGTTAGGAAAATATGATGTCTCAGCAACCTCTATAAACTTCCAGAGATAAAAGAAATATTTTCCTTAGGCACTGCTCTATGTAAGATATATTTCAATTGCCATATTGAAAACATGGATTTCAGGTTAGTTTTCTTTCCAGTTCTTGGCAAGCATGATCCTTGAGACATTAATAGTTCTGATGGTCAATTAAGCATTCCCAAATAACACAGCACAATATACCCTTCTCTCTCTCTCTCTCTCACACACACACACACACACACACACACACACCAATATAAAAGGACATAATGGTAGTTATTTTCAAACTTTGACTCTTCTGTTCATAAACCACATACTCCTTAGTTGTCTAGGACAAAAAAACATCAATCTGGGACTTCCCTGGCAGTCCAGTCATTAGGACTCTGCACTTCCACTGAAAGGGGCAAGGGTTGGATCCCTGGTTGGAGAACTAAGATCCCCAGCATGTGCATGGTGAAGCCAAAAAAAGAAAAAAAAAATCAAATCAATCTAGTGAAAATAGCCCTAGGCTCCCATTCTAGGAAAAGTCACACTCCTCACCACCATCATTTTTTTTCTGAATTAAAACATAAAGTAGTTTCAGTTACAGGGCCCAACCTATAGATTTGTGCAAAATAATTGGTATTAAACACTGGAACAAAGTAAAAAAGAATCGTTGACCATTTACTCTATTTTGCTAATAATTAAATAAGTAGATAAGGAATGCAGAAGAATAGAAAGGATATTTGGGAACTATTCAGTATTTACCTGGTATAGTAGCAACACATCTCTAAAGGGAAAAATTCAAAAGTTTTTAAAATGTCTTATTAGCTGAGACTCATGTTAGTCAAGAATTTGAAGAGGAGAACTGAATTTGAAGACCAAAGTCCCATATCCTGAAAGACAAGAACTCTGGATGGCCCTATTATTTACAACAGGATGAAAATGATACCTAATAAAATAAATAGTGAGCTGAGGTTGGACATGCTGTGGCTCATACTGTCCTCCAGAGAATCTTCCCGGCCCAGGGATTCTGCATTGTAGACAGATGCTTTACCATCTGAGCCACCAGGGAAGTCTGAATTGATGGACAGGGGGTCACAAAGGACAGAGCCAGAAAGTGGAAATGGAAGTGGGAAAATGCAGGATTATCTATTTTATATGTTAGCCTCCCCTACAATGTCATTGAGTATTAACCAGCTTTTACCAAGGAAACTTGAACAAGGAAGTAGGAAGTTGTAGAGTGCATACCTTGTGTAGAAAAGTATTCCATATAATTAGAATGGAATACATGGGAACATGTTCCCCTCCCATGAGAAAGGTTAGTGTCTTCATTTTTGTCTCTAATGGTTTAGAAATACTTGCCCATTCTCCAGTCACTAATATGCCTAAGCTTTGGTTCCCAGTGGCAAAGAAACATCAATAGGAGTCCACCAATTTACTAGGAGAACTGAACAAATATCAATGAATGGTATGAATGGAAAATAATTTTACTTCCAGTTATTTGGAACTTTGTACTTACTATATGACATACATTAATGGGTTGGTATTCAGAGGAAGGTCACCAGTAATGACATTGAACTTTTTGGATATTAGCATCCTTAATACTGTATGTAAAAAGGATTAATGACAATAAGTTTTGCTAGTGGAATGGCTTTTAAATGAGATGTACAGTATTTTTCCAACACTGTGCAGGTAGAAAATAATAGTTCTTAACAAGACTAATACTCTTCCAAAAGCAACATTTTCTAAATGATGATATACTAAAGGGAGCATTAAAATTTCACTTCCTGTTGATTTCTTAATGCTTATTAAGTAAATAATAAGTAATTAAGTAAATAAAAAGTAGTAAGGAACTGAAGATGAAAAAGATACAATTCTAAAAGCAATAAATTTACTATTCTAGCTTTTTTACCCAATTGGAAAACTAGAAACAATACCGAGTATTGCAAAATGTGAAAACAAAAATCAAAACATCATGTTCAAGTAGAAAGAAGAAATGAGAATCCAAATAAATAGATAAATGAGTAAAGGGGATCTATAGGAGACAACAGGTTTAAAAAAAAAACTATAAGAGTCAGTGACATTTGGACTAACGTCTACTCCAAATTTCAAATGAAAAGTATCATTAGCTATTGAAGCATTGTGCAGGTATTAGTATACCACATTTAAGTCAAATATTGTAAACAATGTAAAGTATCCTGGAAAATATATATATTTTTCTATCCAGACTTTTAGCAATATAATAATCCTCCAGCGATTTTTAAACACTGGCAAGTATGGTACTCACAACTTATTGCTGATTTGCTTCAAAATCATTCATTAGTCACAAGAAATTCAAACATTTTAACCACAAAACCAATACATGGAAAAGTCTACTGCCAGAAACAAGACGAATTACTGGTAAAAATGCTTCTGAAGAAGCAGAAATAGTGAATTAAGAACAAAGACATTTTTGAAAGGATTTTTTAAAATTACTCACTTTGGTAGGAAGATCAGTCTCCACATCCAGCTGCTCTTCCCTGTCTCCACTAATGGGACCAGATGGAAGACTAGGACTGAAGGCCATGAGGTCGGTCTTGGGCAGTCCCTCCCCAGAGCACACCCTCTGCCGCCTCTCCTGCGAGTAAGACCAGCTCCCAACCGCGCTGGAGCACACCAGCCTGGGCTTCCCCGGCCCGCACGCGCCCTCGCTGGGCGGCGCCGAGCACCGCAGCGCCGTGTACAGCAGCAGCGTGAGCACCAACAGGCTGGACACCGCGCAGATGGCGACGATCAGGTACACGTTCACATCCACTAACGCCGTCTCTGCGCCAGCCGCGCCAGACAACGCCCGCGAAGAGGCCTTGGGCGCCTGGCCGCTGTCCTCCAGCGACAGCAGCACGGTGGCCGTGGCCGTCAGCGCCGGCTCGCCGTGGTCCTTCACCAGCACCAGCAGGCGCTGGCGCGGCGCGTCCGCCTCGTCCAGGGCGCGCGTCGTGCTGATCTCGCCGGTGTACAGCCCCACGCGGAACGGGCTGCGCGCGCCACCCGCCGCCGGCTGCAGCTCGTACGACAGCCACGCGTTGTAGCCCGAGTCCGCGTCCACCGCGCGCACCTTCGCCACCACGTGGCCCGCGTCCACGGACCTCGACACCACCTGGCTCACCGCGCTGGGTCCCCCGCCTGGCCCGGGCGGCAGCAGCGCAGGCGCGTTGTCGTTCTCGTCCAGCACGAACACCTGCAGCGTCACGTTGCTGCCCAGGGGCGGCACGCCCGCGTCGCGCGCGCTCACCTGGAACTGCAGCAGCTCCAGCTCCTCGTGGTCCAGCGGCTGCAGCGCGTACACCTTGCCGCTCTCCGCGTGCACCGACACGTAGCTCGACAGCGCGCGCTCGCCCACCCGCCGCTCCACCAGCGAGTAGGACACCAGCGCGTTCTCCTGCGCGTCCGCGTCTCGCGCCGACACGGTGAAGATGTGGCAGCCGGGCGGGTTGTTCTCCTTCACGAACACGGTGTACTCGGGCTGCGCGAACGCGGGCGCGTTGTCGTTCACGTCGGCCACCTCCACGGACACGCTGGCGGTGGCCGACAGCGAAGGCGAGCCCCCGTCCCGCGCTGTCACCACCAACTTATAGACAGACACGCTCTCACGGTCCAGGCTGCCGTCCAGCAATAGTGAATAGTAGTTCTTGAACGTGGACACAATCTTGAAGGGGACGTTGGGCGTTAGAAAGCAGGTTACCTGTCCATTGTCGCCAGAGTCTCGATCAGATACACTGATCAGCGCAATGACAGTGCTTGGCTGAGTGTCCTCTCGTACTGGTAGAGACAGGGAAGTGACAGTGATTTCAGGGGCGTTATCATTGGCATCTAAGATTTCAACCCAGACTGTGCAGTGACCTGCCATTGGGGGATTCCCCTTATCTGTGGCCTGTACTTCAATTTCATAAAACTTGTTTTCTTCATAGTCTAAAGTTCCATTGACCTTCACTTCTCCGTTATTTTCATCGAGTGTAAATAAAGGTTTTCCATTGGGCTTAATTGACATTAAGGAGTATGTCACCTCCCCGTTGACTCCTTCATCTTGATCTGTGGCATTTAACTGTATCACAAGAGTTTCTTTAGCTGCGTTTTCCATCAGTCTCACCTTGTATTCTGATTGTTCAAATTCCGGATCATTGTCGTTAATATCCAAGACGCGGATGAAGAGTTGAACAGTGCCAGTGAGCTCCGGTTTCCCTCCATCTGCAGCCGTCAGTAGTAAATTAAATTCCGGAGTTTTCTCTCTGTCTAAAGACTTCTTTAACGTAAGTGACAGTTTTTTAGTCGGCTTACTATTTATTGGTAATTCTAAAGAAAAGTACTCATTTTTACTTAGTCTGTAGGTCAATTGAGCATTCTCTCCTATATCCGCATCAGAAGCTCCCTCTAGAGGAAAACGAGAGTCAGGTTGTTTAGATTCAGAAATCAGCAGCTTTTGTTCTCTGAGAGGGAACACAGGCGGGTTGTCGTTAATGTCCTTCACCTCCACCTCCACGTGGAACACCTGCAGCGGCCGGTCCACGATCACCTCCAGGTGGATGCTGCACTCCGCGCTCCGCCCGCACAGCTCCTCCCGGTCGATCCGAGAATTCACAAACAAAATGCCATTCTGCAGATTTACCTCCAGAAGATCCCCGCGGTCTTTGGACGCCACCCGGAACAAGCGCGGCACCAGCTCTGCCAGTTCCAGTCCCAGGTCCTGCGTGATGCGGCCCACGAAGGTGCCGTGTTTGGCCTCCTCGGAGACCGAGTAGTGGACCTGGCCTCTCCCGGCCTCCCAGAATAGGAGAAGCATTACCGAAAGCAGTAGTCGGCAGTCTCCCTGACCTTCTCTCCAGGAAAGTACCATTGCAAGCGTTTTCCAAGTATTGGGTCGCTTTTGCAACGATCAAAAATTTGAAAATACTTTTAGTTCCTTATTCCTCATTTCATAAATAATCATTCCATGCCCGTATTTCACAGATGGTGAGGAAAAGCAGCATCTTACTACGTAATGAAAGCTGTATTTCTCCTCTGGTGAAGAAATACCTTGCGGTGGACAGCGACATCATGTGGCTAAAGGTTTAGGTATTAAATAAATCTATCTTCCTTCCATTGAACTTTCCTCAATTTTTTCCTTGTTAATTTCCTTCCCATTCCTCAAAGTCTTCATTTTTTTTAAAATATATGCTTAGAACTTTTATACTAACTCATGACTTTCAATTAGGCCAGTCAATTCCATACAGTTAAATATAGTAAAATAGTGATTATTGTTGTAACAGTAGTGGACATCTATTGGAAATATTTCCTGTGTGACAAGTACTATTTCATTTGTTTTAACAGGGTTATCTCATTAAATTCTCACAACAACCTTCTGAGGCAGGTATTAATATGATTCAGTTTTTACAAACATTGAAGTGGAAACATGTACAGGTTAGTAACTGAAAAAATAATATTGACTTGGTGGTGTTGAGTGGGATCTCAATCTAATTCAAGATTCATGACTTTAACCACTTGATCACAAAGTCTACATTTTACAGAAAAATCAGGCCTTTGATATTTTTAACCATTAAAACAACAAGACTGATAAAAATGTATATATATATATATATATACACACAATTTACTTCTATATTATTATGGCAATTTGTTAATTTATAAAATATGTTCACTTATATTTCTTCCTTTGTAGAATGTCTACAAACCATCCTTGTGTCCTTTATCCAACAACTGCATCTTTGTTAGCTGTCTCAACTATTATTTATATGAAGATTTCACAAGTCAGTCTTTTTGTTGTTGTTAAGTCATTAAGTCGTGTCTGACTCTTTTGCAACCCTCTGGACTGTAGTCCATCAGGCTGCTCTGTCCATGGGACTGCTCAGGCAAGAACACTGGAGTGGATTACCATTTCCTTCTCTAGAGAATCTTTCTGACACGTGGATCAAACCCACATCTCCTGCATTGGCAGGCAGATTCTTTACTACTGGGCCACCAGGGAAGCCAAAGTCAGTATTTTACAGTACAGTTATTTTGTAAATTTGGTTTTTGCTGCATAAAAACACTGTTTGATTTGTATATTTGTTATATTCACATCATACCAGGGAAAATTACGTTAATTTTTTTAAATTTCTACACCATTTATACATTTCAATTTACTGGTATATCCTAAAATGTTCCCAATATGAAATGATTGTGTTTTCAATAATCTTCACTCTGGATGAATTTTGGATTCCAATTTGTTAAAAAGTTGTTACTTGAAAGAACTTGTGTTTAATCATTAAAGAGAGAATAGTAGTTTTAGAATCTGTCTCAGTCAACATATTGTAAAACTAGGCCATGAATTATACTAAATGTATTTGTGAAGTTAGTAAGATGTGTGCATTCTCTGAGCGTTTGGAAGTTGAACAGAGAAAATTCATGAGGAGAGGTTGAATTTAGAGAGGTAAGAGTATGCCCAAATTTTGCTTATAATCACACTCTTTTTAAATGAAATCGAACATGTGATTTAAGGGAATTCCCTGCTGGTCCAGTGGTTAGGACTCCTTGCTTCCAGTGCTGGGAGTGTGGACAAAAATAAACTGTGATTTAAGTATTATGAGACTAGTTCCCATAGCAGGTTTTTCCATGTACGCATTGAATGCAAGCCAGCATTGCTGTTTACTCATATTTTATCATTCATATTTAGAATAGAATAAATTATCAATTAAATTTTAATAAATAAGTGAATATTTTAAATTAACTTTCTTTAAAATATGAGGTAAATTAAATTAATGATGTTTATATCAAACACATAATTTCTAATTGATTCTGCTATACTAGTTCATGAAAAAGAAGTAAACATTTAAGACTTATTTTGGAAAAGAATGGATCTAGGAAATAATTATAATTATCGGTATGCCAGTAGGTGCTTTGGTGGATCTTTAAAGGTAGTAGTAGCTGGTTTTAAAATGAGAGACAAAATTAAAATATTTAAATATCATGGACTTCATATCAGTAAGATATCTTTCACAGGTTACTGTAATACTATACATTTCATGACACTTAAGAGTATACTTTCTGCAAAATGGAATGCCATGGGGAATTTATAGCAGAGTAGACTCCATAATGATTATTAAGAGATGAAGGTAATACTAAAGAAACTATATGAGTTTACAAAACTGAGCTTATATGTGGATAAAGTATTAGTGAGTAATACCTACTCTCACTTAGACATCTCTTGGCAACTGAATCAAGAAAATGTAAATATGAAATAAAAATCAGTAAGAGCTTATACAATGATCTGTTGTGATTTCTGGAGATATGGACACACCTGGATATAATATTAAAAGCTTACAATTTACCTAGAATAGAATATAGTTACTAGACTTATGGTAGGAGAGAGTCCATCTGACCATTCATACTTTCTGCACACAAGTCTCAAGAAAGTGATGAGTAGTGATGACTCATCTAAGAACTTTTTCCTCATCTGTTCAAGACATTTGTTTTTCTCTGTAAAGACTCAGATGAACTTTTCTGGTTCTCAGGAAATATATACTCCCTGCATTTTGAGTTATATCAACTCTGAGGTGCTAATAAGTTTCCTGAAGGAACAGATTATACTTAAATGGAGGTCACTATTTCCCCACCAAACTCCATTCCTATAATAACAGATCCCAGATAGAAGTTTATATTCTGGCCTATCTGTAAAATGGCTAAAGCTAAGATCACTTAGTGGAAGTTATTTCATGATTCATCAATATCCACATATATTTGAGGGGGAAAAAGCAAATAACTATGGACCAAAGAATAGTAGAAGACAGTAATTTCACCCCAAGACATCTTCCTTTGGTTGGAAAAAAAGTGTTTTTAATATCCTTTCCAAATGTAACATTTACTCACCAAGTTTAGTGTTTAACCCTATATAGTAGTTTCCATTGAATAACTACATTTTCCTTACCTTGTATGTGGTGCTAAGTCGCTTCAGTTGTGTCTGGGTCTGTGAGACCCTATGGACTGTAGCCTGCCAGGCTCTTCTGTCCATGGGATTCTCCAGGCAAGAATACTGGAGTGGGTTGCCATGCCCTCATCCAGGCCCAGGGATCAACCAGAGTCTCTTACTATTTCTGCATTGACAGGCAGGTTCTTTACCACTTGTGCCAACTGGGAAGCCCTTCCTTATGTTACCTTTTGGGAAAACTCCAACTTCATAGGAATATGATTGCTGTCACTCTTGGAAAATGTTATCGCAGGCATTGTGTGTGATGCCAGAGGAAGGTGGTCAATCTGCACAGTGGGAGGTCTGCGCACATTAACCCAGTGATACACTTTAAGCCTGACTAAACATCCCACTAACATAAAGACTGGGTTATAGTATTATCCACTTGTATGACGAATAAGTCCCACTACCTGGCCACCCCACAATGTGACTTTTTAAAATGTTTTTTAAATTAAACAAAATTGAAAGGGAGCTCTTTTCTCGGTGAACTTTCTATGGTGCCTTAAAAATAAGAATTTTGCAAATGTGAAATCTTTATCCCAAATAAGCGGTTCTTTTTACTATTGAAAGTCATATGTAAGATTAGCAATTATTTCTAAATGATGTCATGTGTTCTGATGATCTATGATATGTACTTTGGAGGTCCTGGCATTATAAACTTATTCAGGCTGCTTTTAAACACATGGAAAGAAAAATTAGCAAATTAACTGTTACATAAACAGATAAAGACAAATTCTTGAGCAAAGGAATAATTTGGAAATTTCCAACATATTCTGACAGAATGGATGAATGGTGTAAATTGAAAATATATATTCCATAATCATGGTCTAAATTTTTTCCAATTGTAATTTTTTAATATGAGAAAAACAATTTACAGGTAATAGTAACTTTTCAGATTTTGCTGAAGTATTTTTTTCATTCCTTTAATCCTATTATTCATGGTGAAAGGAATAATTTGGAAAATTACTTTGGAATAATTTTGGAATTTATGGAATTTTCAAAATGTAAAAAGATCATCTAAGTAATTTATTCTCAATGCAAGAAATTGATTTCTATTCATACCACATATTGCACAATAGGATAATGATATAAATAAAAACAGAGCTATGAATCAAAATAACTAATAGAATTATAGAGAACAAAGGAAATAAAACAATTTTAGAGATGATGAGGAAAAAATTAAGACTCACCTTTTCGAATTGTTCCGATTCGGAGAGTTGTTGTCTTTCGTCCCCTGAGCCTGGACCTTGAGGCAGACTAGGACTGAAGGCCATGAGGTCGGTCTTGGGCAGCCCCTCCCCAGAGCACACCCTCTGCCGCCTCTCCTGCGAGTAAGACCAGCTCCCCACCGCGCTGGAGCACACCAGCCTGGGCTTCCCCGGCCCGCACGCGCCCTCGCTGGGCGGCGCCGAGCACCGCAGCGCCGTGTACAGCAGCAGAGTGAGCACCAACAGGCTGGACACCGCGCAGATGGCGATGATCAGGTACACGTTCACATCCACCAGAACGGCCTCCGCTTCAGCCGCACCAGACAACGCCCGCGAAGAGGCCTTGGGAGCCTGGCCACTGTCCTCCAGCGACAGCAGCACGGTGGCCGTGGCCGTCAGTGCCGGCTCGCCGTGGTCCTTCACCAGCACCAACAGGCGCTGGCGCGGCGCGTCCGCCTCGTCCAGGGCGCGCGTCGTGCTGATCTCGCCGGTGTACAGCCCCACGCGGAACGGGCTGCGCGCGCCACCCGCCGCCGGCTGCAGCTCGTACGACAGCCACGCGTTGTAGCCCGAGTCCGCGTCCACCGCGCGCACCTTCGCCACCACGTGGCCCGCGTCCACGGACCTCGACACCACCTGGCTCACCGCGCTGGGTCCTCCGCCTGGCCCGGGCGGCAGCAGCGCAGGCGCGTTGTCGTTCTCGTCCAGCACGAACACCTGCAGCGTCACGTTGCTGCCCAGGGGCGGCACGCCCGCGTCGCGCGCGCTCACCTGGAACTGCAGCAGCTCCAGCTCCTCGTGGTCCAGCGGCTGCAGCGCGTACACCTTGCCGCTCTCCGCGTGCACCGACACGTAGCTCGACAGCGCGCGCTCGCCCACCCGCCGCTCCACCAGCGAGTAGGTCACCAGCGCGTTCTCCTGCGCGTCCGCGTCTCGCGCCGACACGGTGAAGATGTGGCAGCCGGGCGGGTTGTTCTCCTTGACGAACACGGTGTACTCGGGCTGTGCGAACGCGGGCGCGTTGTCGTTCACGTCGGCCACCTCCACGGACACGCTGGCCATGGTCGACAGCGAAGGCGAGCCCCCATCCCTTGCAGTCACCACCACCTCATAGTTCGCCACGCTCTCGCGATCCAAGACGCTGTCCAACACGAGTGAATAGTAATTCTTGAAGGTGGACACCAATTTGAAGAGGTCTTGGGGGATCAGGGTGCAGGTCACCTGTCCATTGGCACCATAGTCACGGTCGGCCACCGTGATGAGAGCAATGACAGTGCCCAGTGGAGCATCCTCTCGAATGGGAAGTGAAAGAGACGTGATTGAGACTTCTGGTGAGTTATCATTGATGTCCACAAGTTTTACTGAAATTTTACAGTGCCCAGACATTGACGGATTCCCGTTGTCATACGCAATAACTTGAATCTCATAGAATTTCACGTCTTCATAATCTAATTGTCCCTTAGTTCTGATTTCCCCTGAGCTGGGATCTATATTGAACTTGGTCTTTATATTGGGGGACACATCACTACTAAATGAATACACAATCTCACTGTTTGATCCTTCATCTGCATCAGAAGAATTTAATTTAATTACCAAGGTTCCGTTTGCCACGTTCTCTAACAGCTGTATTTTGTAAACTGGTCAAAAGTAGGTTCGTTGTCATTCACGTCTAATACCTTAATAAGCAACTGAACGGTGCCCGTGAGCTCAGGTTTGCCCCCATCAGTAGCCACTAGTAACAAATTAATTTCAGCAGTTTCCTCTCTGTCCAGAGATTTCCTCAGCACAAGAGACAAAGACTGACTTAGTTCATCATTTGTCTGTATATCTAGAAAGAAAAACTCACTGGAGCTGAGCTTGTAGGTGAGAAGAGCATTTACTCCGATATCTGCATCAAATGCCCCCTCTAGAGGAAACCGTGAGTCAAGCAGTCTCGATTCGTGAAAACGGATAGTCTTTACCGCCACTGGAAATGCTGGAGGGTTGTCGTTAATGTCCTTCACCTCCACCTCCACGTGGAACACCTGCAGCGGCCGGTCCACGATCACCTCCAGGTGGATGCTGCACTCCGCGCTCCGCCCGCACAGCTCCTCCCGGTCGATCCGAGAATTCACGAACAAAATGCCATTCTGCAAATTTACCTCCAGAAGGTCCCTGCGGCCTTTGGATGCCACCCGGAACAAGCGCGGCACCAGCTCCGCCAGCTCCAGTCCCAGGTCCTGGGCGATGCGGCCCACGAAAGTGCCGTGTTTGGCCTCCTCAGGGACTGAGTAGCGGACCTGGCCGCTCCCGGCCTCGCCTACAGCTAAGAGCAGAAGCAGCAGAAACAGATGCCGTACCTCCACGCCCCTTCTCTTAGAAGACACCATCACCAGTTCTCAGTGAGTTGATCAAAATAGAATATCGTGTTGTGCAAAATTTTAAATGTTGTCCTCTAATCTCTGTTCAAGTCCTGCTGCTTCTCTTATTGTTCTCCTCGCTGGAGTTACAATAGGGTTCTGGGTATTTTTCTTCTTAGAAATATACTGTGGTAAGACAGCGACATCATGTGGCCAAAATCTAGGCTCTACTGTTGATTCTGTAGATTTAAATTTTAGCAATTGTCTAGGCCAAGTTTACTGATAGCTTTCATTTAGGAAAAATACCTATCTTAAACTGCAATATATCATTTTCCCCCTTTTACTGTGTTAAAAATATATAACAAAATGTACCATTTCATCCACTTTTAAGTATACAGTTTAGTTTGTTATAGTCACATTGTTGTGAAATATCTTGAGAACTTGGATCTTGCAAACATGAATCTCTATACCCATTAGAAAACAACTCCCCTTTTCCAACACACTGCACCCCTCTCACCACCATTCTACTTTCTGTTTCTACAAATTTTACTACTCTAGGTACCTACATAAGTGAAATCTCACAGTTTGTCTGTGACTGGATTATATGACTTTAGCATATCCTCAAGGTTCATCCATGTTGTAGCATGTGATAAATTTCCTTATTTATAAGGCCAAATAATATTCTGATGTTTTTTGTATACCACGTTTTGTTTATTCATTCATCCATCTGTCCATGGATATCTGGGTTGCTTCCACCTCTTAGCTATTGAGAATAGTGCTGTTATAAGCATGGGTATGAAAATATGGGCTTCCCTTGTAGCTCAGTTGGTAAAGAAGCTGCCTACAATGCAGGAGACCCAGGGTTCGATTCCTGGGTTGGGAAGATCCCCTGGAGAAGGAAAAGGCAACCCACTCCAGTATTCTTGCCTGGAGAATCCCATGGACTGTAGCCTGCCAGGCTCCTCTGTCCATGGGATCACAGGAGTCGGACACAACTTAGCGACTAAACCACCACCACCAAGAAAATATCTCTGAGACCCTGCTTTCAGTTCTTTTGGATATAACATAAATTTTTTTCTGTTTCTTCAAGTAAAGTACATAGAAATCAAAGGATATTTTAGTTTATACTTTATAAATTGAAAATATATTTATAGATTTCATTTTTGCTTTTGTGATTTAATTTTGCTTTCTGGACTGTTCACAGATGTTTGTAAATTAATAATTCATTTTCCTCATCTGGATAATGTATTCTTAATTAAGAATATCTTTTTCTACTACATTTGGATTTTTATTCAAGAACAGTACAACTGATCTCTTTTTAGTGTTGAGAATATCTTACTTTAATAATTCTTAGCTGTCCCCTTCATACACAAATGATATGAAAATATGACAAAGATAACATAGGGATAAAACAAAATGAATTGACGGTAAGTCAGTCTTCAAAACGCATAAAAGTTATCTTCAGTTACTCTAAGGAGGTCACAACCACAAAGAAGGTTGAATGCTGAAGAACTGATACTTTCAAACTGTGGTGCTGAAGAAGACTCTTAAGAGTCCCTTGGACAGTAAGGAGATTAAATCATTCAGTTCTAAAGGAAATCAACCCTGAATATTCACTAGAAGGACTGATGCTGAGCTGAAGTGCCAATACTTGGTCAAGCTCAGCCAATAAGCTTGACATTTCTTTGTGTCTGTAGTGTTTGGAATAGTAGCTCCCAAAAGATATATCCACTCAGAACCTTAAAATGTGTCTTTATTTTGAATAGAGATCTTTACAGACATAATTAAGATAACCCTAATCTTAGCATTATCCTAGATTTGGGTGGGTCACAAATCCAATGACAAATATCCTTAAAAGAGACAGAAAAAAGTGCACAGAGGCATGTGAAAGAAGGGACTGTGAACACTGAGACAGAAACTAGAGTTACACTGCCATGAGTCACGGAATGGCTGGAGCCACCACAACCTGGAAGAGGCCGGGAAGAGTTCTCCCCCTACAGTCTGCAGAAGCAACATGGCCCTGTCAACACCTTTTTGGACTTCTGGCCTCTAGAACTGTGAGAGTATACATTTCTGTCCTGTTGTTTCAAGCCCCCAAGGTTGTGGTAATTTGTTACATACAGAAGCACTACAAAACCAATATAGTATCCATTGCTAAAACAATACCCTTTGCACTTCCCAAGGCAACTTTTCACTTCCTTTTGTTTTTTTTTTTTTGGGCTTTCTTTTTTCAAAATTGTTCTTTCCTTTTTTTCCCAAACTTCCATTAAGGCCCCGGAGGGAGGAAACAAGAAACGGAAATGGATGATAGGCAAGAAAAAAAAAAGAGGTGCCTAAGACATTTTAAATTCAGTTTATTATTTTTCTTCTCCTGATTTTATATAAAAAGAAATCACTACACAATAATTTTTCCATGAAATCCAAGTTATCTAATCTACTTAATGGTCAGATACTTTAGTGAAAGGGTCAATAATAATGTTCTCCTATCAGTTGTATAGACTACCTGTTGTAATGCTCTTCTTGTAAAATGTGTTCTGCTCACATTAGCTTAATGGCAGTGGAACCCCAATGACCATGTTGCTGTATATTGACTATCTCCATTTTAAATAAACACAATTTTATCTATGACAAAGTCCTCTGTGGTTTAGGGAGACTGTTTAGGACAGCTTTTCTCCACATGTTGGCTCAGCATCCCAGAATATTTTGATCAATGGCATCTCAGCATCAACCTGTACTTCCATAAATGCCACAACAGGAAAAGACAGCAGAAGGCAATCTTTCACTGGCAATTATCTGTTTCTGATTGGAAGTGATATATATCATTCACATGTATTTGATCAAGTAAAATCAAAGCTCAAGGTAGCAAGGAAATGAAATCCTCCAGTGTTCCCAGAAGGAGAAGAACAGGAATATTGACAGTGGCTACCAAAATAAACAACTGTTTCTCATTCTCATCTATTTGTATTCTTGCCTGACCATAGGTCTCAAAGGTAACTGAAGTGACACCTAAATTCTCTAATTATTTATTGTTATACTAGAAAATGGGCTTCCCTGGTAGGTAAAGAATCCTCCTGCAATGTAGGAGACCCTGGTTTGATTCCTTGGTTGGGAAGATCCCCTGGAAAGGGATAGGTGACCCACTCCAGTATTCATGGACTTCCCTGATGGTTCAGATGGTAAAGAATTTGTCTACAATGAGGGAGACCTGGGCTTGATCCCTGGGTTGGGAAGATCTCCTGGAAGAGGGCATGGCAACTCACTCCAGTATTCTTGCCTGGAGAATCTCCATGGACAGAGGAGCCTGGCAGGCTACAACCCATGGGGTCGCAAAGATTCGGACATGACTAAGCACAGCACAGCACATACTAGAAAATAACAGTAAGCTGAATGAATCACAAGCTGGAATCAAGATTGCCAGAAGAAATATCAACAACCTCAGATATGCAGATGATACCACTTCAATGGCAGGAAGTGAAGAGGAACAAAAGAATCTCTGATGAAGGTGAAAGAAGAGAGTGAAAATGCTGGCTTAAAACTCAACATTCAAAAAACTAAGATTGTGGCATCTGGTCCCATCACTTCATGGCAAATAGATGGGGAAAATGTGGAAACAGTGTCGGATTTCATTTTCCTGGGCTCCGAAATCAATGTGGATGATGACTGCAGCCATGAAATTAAAAGACACTTGCTCCTTGGAAGAATAGCTATGACAAACCTAGACAGCTTATTAAAAAGCAGAGACATCACTTTGCTGACAAAGATCCATATAGTAAAAGCTATGGTTTTTCCAGTAGTCATGTATGGATTTGAGAGTTGGACCATAAAGAAGGCCAAGCACAAAAGAATTGATGCTTTTGAACTGTGGTGATGGAGAAGACTCTTGAGAGTCTCTTGGACTGCAAGGATATCCAACCAGTCAATCCTAAAGGAAATCAGTTCTGAATATTCACTGGAAAGACTGATGCTGAAGCTCCAATACTTTGGCCACCTGATGCAAAGAGCTGACTCATTGGAAAAGACCCTGATGCTGGGGAAAATTGAGGGCAAGAGGAGAAGGGGCAACAGAGGATGAGATGTATGGCAATCACTGACTCAATAGTCATGAGTTTGGACATGTCAGGTGAATGGTATGTTAATGGACATGAGTTTGAGCAAACTCAGATAGTGAAGGACAGAGAAACCTGGCATGCTGCAGTTCATGGGATTGCAAAGAGTCAGACACGACTTAGCAACTGAACAACAAATACTAGAAAATAGAATCACAGTTCTAATCTTAGAAAAGAAGTTTTCTGAAAAAGAAGGAACATATCAAGAAATAGTCTTCTTGGGTATTATTCCTTATATTTTAGACAATGCTAATTTGTAGTATTCCCTTACAAATTAAATTACATTGTTATAATCATACCAAGATAACATGAAAGTAAAATTACAGTTCCTAAAATCATAGTTATAAAATTGAAATTCATTACTGAAATTGAATAATCAAATGATAATAAGGTATGTTTCACCAATATTTTACTGAAAGCAATGATAGGTTTTGTTTCCACTGGGATGATTTTTGGAGCCTTCATAGGAAAATGAGAATAAAAAGTATTAACAGCACAATGATCTCTGTCTAGTTTTTTCAGATGGATGACAAAGGTGTGAAGCTGCCAGCTTTATTTTTTTTGCCAGCTTTAATGGATAATTAATATTAACCAAAACTAATTAAATTGCATGTGGGCTAAGTTGCTTCAGCTGTGTCCAACTCTTTGCAACTCTATGAACTGTAGCCCACCATATCTGATAAAATCTCAGCATATCTAACTTTACCTTTTGAAGATATGTCCATTTTAAGTTAATAAATTTCCCAAATGAATGACTAATCTGAATTGTAAACATACCATGAACTATGTGCCAAAAAATAAATTTTCCCATAGGATCTGTATAACATGTTAATGATAGCAAAGAATGGTGGAGAAGTAGAAAAAGAAGGCAACTGGGTCATCTTAATGAAGAAGAAAGGAAGGAATACATTTCATGGAAGAAATCTTATAAAGGAATACAAAACTATTGAAAGCTGGCACAAAGATTCTGAACGGCACAAGGATATTAACTACAGCTAATAGCAG